AGAAATAACAAAATTGTTCTTCCCTATAACTATGAATTTAACCCTACTTAACAATAAATTTTTAAAATTAACTAAATTGATTTATAAAAGGAAAAAAGAAATTAATTAACATTTGTGGTAAAATTTCAAGATATGAGCTACTAATACGAATAAAGCCATAAAACTATCTTAATTAAGTGTAAAATTAATTTCTATATTTAACGTCACATGAGAGAAGTTTTTAGGAAAAAAATGAAATATAAGATTACAATAGTAATATTAAATTGACGGAGAAAAAAATGAACCTTACTTTTAAAAAGTCTCCTCAGTTTTCTATTGAAATCGAATTATTGAAAGGAGAAAAAATAAGGTTATTATGATAGCTACTTTGAGATTTGAAAAGAAAGTTAGTAGACTTACTTGAGTTTGAGCTGATAAGGTAACAGGTTATTCTTTAAAAGTAGAAAATATATCTATTTAGTCAGATTAGGCTATAATATTATTAAGCAGAAATATGAGTAGATTTGTCTACTAGAAGAGGGGACAGAGCAATGAAGATCAAAATAGAATAAATTTAGGGAAGTTGATAAAACTTGGGTTCAATATGTCATTGAGGGACTATTTCGTAAACCAAAATTCTTACTATTTATATTTAATTTCATAAAGTTATTGGTTAACCAGAGGAAGCATCATTTTAGTTAAAGGTTCTTTTATATTTTATTTTAGCAATAGATGATCAAGGAACTGCTTTTAGTTAAACCAGAAACAATCCTTTCATGTCTCTAATTTTATGTAAAATTGATATAGTAGATGGATGAGCTGATGTCAAAAGCCGGTTTTTTAAATTCGAAGGAAAGAAGAGTATGAGGGGGTATATCTGTTGCATGGCAGATTCCAACATCCAAAAAAAATGAACTAAAATGTGGCTCAATAAATTTCCGAATGTAGGATGTACCACAATATATATTCATTATTTTAAAAGAACAGATAAATTATTCTTGAAATCAAAATATACAACCAACTCAAATGAATTTATTATTTCTCTAATTACCTTGCTATTTCAAAAAGTATTAAACGATAGTAGTATAATTTAACGAAATTTTAATTATTCATTGTTCTACTAATCACATTATTAAAAAGCAAAACTGAAAAATTTGAGTTGTTGATAAGATATTCTCTATTTTTATTAAATGATAGCAACTTAAAGGAATGATAGAAGGAATAACAGTTCTCATTTTTAGGATTATATTAAAAATTCTAAAGACGATTGAAAATTAAAGTGTTTCATACATAATTTAAGAGACTTCAATAACAACTCAAATTGATTATTTTATACTTTCCTTCAGACAACTAATTAAATTATACTATATATTAATCACATATTTAGTGTTGACAATCAATTCATTCAAGCAATAGAATTTAAATACATTGTGAAAGAATTGATTTAAATCAAGGAATAAAATCCCTAAAACCATCAAATTTACTATTTATTTCATTTGTTAGATTTAAAAGAAGAAATAGTAAGATAATCTTTCATTTTGTTTTAAATTGATTTTATCAGTGCTTCCAAAGAATTTGGTATTTATTTTGGTTAGATTTCTTTTTAGTTTAATTCTCTAAAAGTTCTAATTCATCGTTGTTATCTCAATCCATTTTAAAATCTATATAATTTCTTGAAAAATTCATTACAGCTAATATTAATTTACTTTCAGGTGAATTTTATAATTTATTATTTATCCTATTAGCTTTTTTTTCAAGATTATAGTTAATTATTGTAAGATATTTCTACTTCTACAAATTTTATCAAAAATACATTTTATGAATATGCCAATGAAGAATTAACATGAATTTACATAATTTTAAACTTTTCCAAAATCTATTAGCAATTATGTTTATCTTATTTTGATAATGTTTGATAAGTATTTTTAAATTTAATTTGTTGTCATAAAAATAGGCTAAATTAGTTTTGCAAAAATGATATCTGTTAATTGGAGTTCTAAATGACATAAAAGTCCTTCAAATATGGCAAGTAATGACATAGAATTAATTAAATTCTTGTAAGCTTGTTAATTAGAACTATCACTTTGCTCTTATTGCTAATTTGTTATCGGAAAGGTCTCTGGAGAAAGTAACTATATTAAAAATTTGACACTAAATCTAAAGAATAAGAAATTTCATAAATGATAAAAAAAAAGAAGGGAAAGAATTTTTGTAATTTAAACTCAAAAAATTTGATCTAACAAAGGGTAAGAAATTAAAAAAATCGAGAAGAAAAAGAAAATTGTTAAAATGATAAAAAATAATTATAAATAAATAATGTATTTGAACTGAAATAGCATTATCTTTATGGAATCTAGTAATTGGAAAATTATGAGGAAAAACGTTTTTTTACATTGCAAATAATAAATTGACAATCAGGAAAGTTTATAATTGTTTAATACAATTTCATGATCATGATTATAGTCAATACTTTCCTGTAAACTTCAATATATATTTATTGTGGTTGGAATAGTGTAAATGGTTAAATACAAATTTAAGAATAACAATTCACATTAAGCCTGATTAGAGAAAATTCTTTTTTTTTTAAATAATTTTATTATGTTAATCGATTTATTAGGGTTGACATTAAATGCTATTTCATATCCAAGTCAACTTAATAATTAATGAATGAGGCTTTAAAATTTCATAAATGTATAAAGAAATAATAATTTGATCGCTTTATTTATATTTTGTCAATATCAAGCACCTTCTTCAATAAATTTAACGATAATTTCTATTTGATTCTTATCCTTTTTACCGAATACTCTATATTTTTTGCTCACTTAAGCTTTTTGGGAGTTTAACTAAAACGAATTGAAACCCTTAGAATAGAAAATTGAGGCCTTTCTGAAGATAAATCTATTTTCAGAACATTTGTAAATGTAAATTTCAAATCCTTCAAGGTTATCTTCTTATTGAAATCCTAACTTTCAATTTAAGTAATACCACTACGATATATTTATCTGAAAAGATGAATTTTATTCGTTCATTATCAGAATTCATATAAATACAATTAAAAAAATTTAATTTAATAATCATTTCAAATAACAGACTCGTGTTAAAGAGTACTGTAAGAATTAAATTTATCAATAGATTGTAAATATTTGACTGGTAAAGTTGAAAACCTGATATGTTTATAAATGGTAATAATAAATTTGAATATCATTCTTCTTATTATTTTCGAATTTAAATTTCATAAGATGAATAATCCCAAGTTACCAAATAGTCTCCAGCATCGCTTAATGACCCATATATACCATTTGTAGCAAACTATATAGATTATTCAAGTTTAAATTCGTTTGATGGTATGTGACTGTTTAGGAACACTTGCAAACCATTAATTTTTGTTAATGATTGACCAAATCAAACCAGCTTTATCCCAGATATCAACTAATTGGATTTTTTCATAAAATTCAATGTAAACACACTATTTGATGTTGAACTAATTACTTAAGTTTATTTTAACTTTCCTTATTCGAATTCATATACTATTATTTCATTACCGCATCTAACTACAACATTGAGCAATCATTATTAAAAGCAAAAGCACCTCAAAAGTTCTAGTATTTTATGGCTTTTAATTGTATTAACATGAAGTTTAGGTCTTATTGCATCTTAGGTTATGATTTTTAATTGATAAGGGGCATCAATTCTTATACCATATTCGATTAAAAAATGGATTGGCCAACTAAATTGAATTCATTAACTTCTGGCAAGATAATTCTGATCCAATACTAATCAATAAAATTATTGATCTTGTGAAATGATGACTAAAATTAACAACTAAAAAATACATGTAGATTTTTCTCATTTACTTTGATTTACCATTCTAAGTTGCTTTATAACATTTAGTATTTTCTTTTTCTATTAAAATTATTAAATAAAAATTCATATGTTCAACATGAAGCTTTTTTTTTTCTTTTAACAAGATGGAAAGTTACAAATAAATTAATTTAGTAAGAAAAAGAAACTAATGTGTAGTAAATTCTTAAATTTAAGACAATGATATATTTTGTAATGTGAATATTTCACTCTTTCTATCCTGATTATAAATAGATGAATGGTAATTAGTACTATTAGAAATCAAGGTATAGTAGAAATTAAATTTAAATTTCATATTAGCCTAAAAATTAGCTAACTCTCCAAAGAGCCGATGGTCCTTGCTCTATCACATATTCGTTGTAATAATTGAGTTATTTAATGATTTCAGCGACAATCTTGCTCTTAAATAATAAGTTTGATTCTTTCTATCCTAAATGCTTAGAACTATAAATGATGTAAAATTTATAACTTAGCCTTCCATTAAGTTTAAATATGATTTGAAAATGTAGCAAAAGAAAGATAAAGTTCAAAATGTAAAAGAAATTATAAATTAAAAAAGGGAAGGATAGATCTTGATACTTAAAACTTACATAGCGATCTTATAATAAGCCCAGTAGAAGCCTTCTCAATTTATTATAATTACCGAACCTTCTCTTAGCATAGGAAGTCAAGTGTTATTTTAGATTCTAATAATCTAAGCAGCAATCTAAGAATGAGTTAGAAGCTCAATAGATTTTACTAATTACTAGGTTGTTTTCTCATGAATTCCAATGAAAATCATTTTGGAATTCAAAAACAACTATAGCTATAACAAATTATTAAAGAAGATAAGAGACTGCTTAAGTTATGTAGTGATTATCTAAAAGTGGATGAGTTTCTTTCTAGAAGACATAGATACATCAATTAAAATAAGAAAAATTGATCTAAATGCTCATTATTGGAAATAAAAGTTTCGTTTTCATCTTAATGCACCACGATCTAAATTATACTAATTTTCATATTATAACTATTTTTAGATGAAGAAAATCACTTTTTTGTAACAATATTGTCACTATTTGTGGAAAAAGATATTCACCATTAGTTAATTTTGTATTAAAATCCTGCACTGATTTTATTTTGACAAAGAACTAAATAAAAGATGATATATATATTTGCTTTTAAAGATAATTAATTTTATTTATGTTAAATATACCTTATTTATCTAATAAAGCATTTTATAACTATTTCAGGAAAATCTTCATTTTTTGTTTGATGAATGAAAATATCAATATATTTCACTCGTTATTGTAATAAAATTAGCAATATGTACTAACAATTTTTAAAGGAAGAGCTTATTGTTGTAATTATTTTTTTATTAAATTAGATGTCAATTAAAATCAATAATATGAAGAAAGCGTTGACTAATTGAATTTCGATTATTTAAAATCTTACCTAAAGATTAGAACGAAAAATTAATATCTTTTCAATTTTATATACTTTTACTTAAATTATTATTCGTAATATTCATATAAACAGCGGGCTTTTCTCAGTTTCTGATTTGATTCTGCACATCAATTTCAATTTTAATATTAATCCTATGCAAATCGAAATTAGTTCTATAATTATGCCTGTAGATAGTATGATTGCTTGAATCCATCCTAATATAATTTTTTTCTCTTGATTAAAATATTCAATAAACTCCTAGATATAAAAGAATGAACTAAACATAAAAATGATTTTAATATTATTGTTAAATTAAATTATACTGATATCTCAACTACCATCTAAACAATATAATTATTTTTATGAAATGCACTACGATAATTATATATGAATTTAATTTAAAATAAGCTTGATAAAAGGAGCAATCCTAATTATAGTGTTTACGAATTTTAAAGGTAAATCAAGAATAAGAAAAAGAAAAATTATCTTCCAAAATTTAGAATTTCAAACCTTTGATTTTTGTTTATATGTTATTTGCATTTGAAAAAATTTAGTAATATGCTAAAATAAAGTAGAAGTATTATGCTAGCCATAAAGAATTGTATAATGTCTATGTAATTTCTTGTTTAAATACTTCGTGTATACAACAGGGTTTTAAATATCATATCCCAACCATTGAGTAGCAAGGCCTTTTACAATCCTTTAAATGTCATAAATTTCTCCAATTTAAGTAAATCTTCTAAAATGCAATAAAAGTATTAGCTAATTTTCAAAATAATTTTTCGATTAATATACAATGATAACTCTAACAGATATGAATAGCATCTAGAACAAAATATCCATTTGTATCCGACTCTTTTAATCCATTTTAACAGCAAAATAAGGAATAAAAATAGTAAGCATTATAATATTTGAGAAGAAAGATTGACGATCAAGCTTGAATTTTATTTGTAAACATTAAATTTACCATCAGAATATTCCTAATTTGACTAAATATCAATAAGTTGTAAAAATTGAGGAAAGTGCACAAAATCTAACAGAGGTTGAACCGTTATCAGATCATAAATAGAAAAATAAATATCTAAATTTTCAGGGAATTATAAATTTATATATCTTAAGTATTGCTAAAATTAAAGAATTGCCAAAATCTCAACAAACAATTCTCCACTTCCGAATAAAAGACTGATAATAGTAATTCCTGATAAACTATAGATCAAATATTTGTTTAGAAGTTTCAAACTTTAAGAATAACCCTTCTATGTTTCATCAAGATAATTTGGATATTATAATGTTATTTAACTTTCACAAACATCCAAAATAGCATTATCTATGTTAGCAACTTTCTGATTTATTAAAATTTTCAAGCGTGGTCTAAATTTTAGTAATTTGTACACTTCTATTTCGACAATATATTCTCCAAAACTCAAATATGATCCAACATCCTAAATTATGTATAAGCTGCTATTCCAGTACTTTTTATCTATATCTGATAATTCAAAATTTAAAGTTTCTGATAGGGGTTAAAGTGTAAATATTTTTATGTGTTAATTAAATTAGATGCTTATATATTATTTATTTTAAGTCATATTGAGATAATTAATAACTAAACTTGGACCTTTGGCGAATGCGCATTAGCTAAGAGAGTCTTTTGTCATTGTGATGCAAACCCAATTTTATTCAAATAAACAATCCTTGCATCCATCGACTGCTTACAAATTACCATCATCGCATTCCTCTTATTCCTAAACTAATCCATCTCCGCAATAGAATTATTATTTGCATTAATTTAAAATTGGTGTTTAGTATTGATTTTCACACTCTAAACAAATACCCTGATAACAATCTGAGCAATTTTCTGGACAAGAATACTTACACTCAAAACAACCATCAAAATTTATAGTATTACCATCATCACAGTCTTCTTCCTTTGTGACAATTTAATCACCGCAAACAGAGTGACAATTGTAATTAACAAACTCGTAACCATCTTCGCATTTTAAAATGCATTCTCCTCTCTCACATATGTTGCAATCTTCTATGCATTGAAACTTGCATTAATAACAACCATCATAAGGTTCGAAATTTCCATCATCACAATCCTCATATAATTAGAGAACTAATTTATCTCCGCAATAAGGAAAACATGCATTTTCTAACATTTAAAATCCTACTTCACACTCTAAGCAAATTGAAAAATAGTTTGTTTTACAATTAGCGATTGAGATAAATTTACAATCGTAACAACCATCCCATACACCATTAACAGCAAATTCACATTTTTCAACTGAATATGGAGTCAAAACACCATCTCCACACAAGGGATCACAACTAAAATTGGAATTAATCACAAATCCATCAATACATTATAAACAAATTCCAAATTAACAAATTTAACAATTTTCAACACAAGAATATTTACATTAATAACAAGAATGATTAGGTATTAGTGTATCACATTATTCCTAACCTTGAATGATTCCATCTCCACAAATTGGATGACAATTATCTAGAAATTCATCTTAAACCCAACCTTCTTGGCAAATCTGGCATTTAACATCTATTTATTCTAAACAACCTTCATTCAAATTCTTATAAATTATTTCTGGTTATGTATAAAATACTTCAAAATCTCTAATATTACTGGATTATAAAGGATTTTGAGTATTAATAATCAGTTATAATATAGGATCTTGATGATTTCTTATTAATATTTCTATATAATAATGATTACTTATAGTTTCTTTCCCATATAAATAGTCAACTATTATAATAGTTGAATCTGCTTTATAAAACTTTATTAATACGTCTTAATGAAGAGGTAGATAAGTTTAGTAATTAATTTAAGAATAGTATAAAAATTAACAATGTCCACAATAAAATTTACTCTAATAATTTGATTAAAAGGTCCATCCATCGGAATATGTGATCAATTTTTAATTAAATGAATATTAATGCAATTTCCATTTTTAGTATATTTTATCATAATTCTCTATGCATCCAGCACATTCATACTAACATTTAATGTAACCTAATTTTAATGATATTAATCCTCCGTATTGTTATCTAATATATATCCAAACAGTTCTTCTATTATGTTAGTGAATAATAGAAATAGTTCGCAAATATTCAGGTTATGCACCACCACATATCGAACTTGAGGATGATATCACTGATCCATAGCTTTATGCATACGAGTCTATTTCAATTTCAGGTTGATTATTTTAATCAATACTTTCGTAATTAAGAATAAAAAATACCTTAGAAATTGTGCATCCACTATAATATGAGAATGAGATTCTAGATCAAAAATGATCCTGCTAATACTGTAATATTAACTATTAGAAGACCCAAAATATCGAATCGCTCCACAAGTATTCAAATTAGAAATATCATGATAATTTTCCCATCCTAATATAAAATATAAACTATAAAAAATTACCATCTATATTGTTAGAACTAGCATTAAACTCATACATCACAATTTGACGAGTTGTCGAAATTATAATGATGAGCATTATCATTATTAATTATTGTAAATATTTACATTTTTATATAATATATTATCATAATAATAAAGGTATTCGCTTAATCAATTTAACTATTTAAAGAATTTAAATAACCATACTAACTCAGAATAAAATTAATTATTCTCTTTTCTTTACCTACGCCCTCTAAAATCCTCTTTATTGGTTAAATCTATTTAACTTAGAAAGAAACATATTAAATTATTAATGCAATGTACTTATTATGAATGTTTATTTTATTTATTTTACAAATAAATGTTTCACATCGATTATAACAGCAGATTTTTAATATTATTGTAGAGGTTGAATTCAACTATTAACAATAAAATGAAAAGTACAATGAAATAATATTTTTATAACATCACATGTGTAAAATAAATCAGAGTGAAGGTGGTAAAATTTAGAAACTTAGAACTAACTAAAGCTCAGTTTTTAAGGGTAATAATTGAGTTAAAAAAAATTAAGGTGTTTTTAATCATCAGTTCACAATCATTTTTTGTTTTTATATCAATTCAATTTTATATGTTTAAACAAATGGATCTAAATAATAAATTTATTATAGTTATCAAAGCAAACTTTCAGCGTAAGTCACAAACTATATTAAATATTTATTGCTTAGATTAATAGTAAATCGGGTAAACCTTTAAAACCACATATGATATTCTATTTTTAGATCAACAAAAATTAAAGAGTTAACGATAAACAAGTTCATTCAAAAATTAGAGAGATAGTCTATAACATTGATTTTTTGATATTCCACAGACTGAGTTAAAGCTAAAAATTCTTGGTTATTCCTTTGCTTGGCATAATAATAAGTACTGTAAAGCTTGTCAAATGAATTACAACAGCAACAACTTAGTAAGCTCAACTTTTTCCTTGAAAAATGAGTAATGATTGTTAATTCCAACAAGATGTCTTTTTTGTTATGTGCACTTCCTAATCTGTTGGAAGTTGGTTTTTATTCGTTAATTAATTTATAGCCATAATGAATTTAAAATATTAGAAGCAAGTGTTCGCATTGATTCCACATCTTAAATTTGTCAATAGTTGTTGATCAAAAGAATGAAATTAAAGGTTGCCTTCGGAAAAAAGGTTACAATCTGGATAATTCTCTTTTCCGATTAACTTTCATAAGAGACTATTTTCATCTCTTCACTTCTTTCTTTGAATCATATATGAAATATTTTAGATTCATCAAATCTTATTTTTGTGAAGTTCTTGATTCTGCTGTTAACCATTCATACCTATATATTATTCATTTCTCGCTGCCCTTACTCATAAATAAATAGTACTTCAAAAGTAGATCCATTTTTTCTATAAGCATCAAACTGAAAGATCCATTATCTAAATCAATTCTTGTCGCCAAATTATCCAAGCGTATCATAAAACGACACATTTGGTAATTCTGCGTCTACTATTGCGAATAATTTTACATATATTACCTTTTCTATAACTAAATTAACAACTCCCTTCTTTTGGCTAGGTTGCAATCTTCTTAGTTATTGAAGGTTTAATTGAATAAGGTTTTCTTGTCTAAATTATCATCTTTTAAGATAACTGATTTATCAAGCTGATTCCAGCTCCTTGCTATTATTTGATATTCACTGCTGAGGCTATGTTACTCTTATTCTTGCTTATAAAGTTTATCATTTAATCTTATAAATAAGCCTCATCTAATTACCTTTAGCATGTATTTTCCATACATCAAAAGCAAGTCAGCATATGTATAAATAAGGTTACAATTTCGGTCAGCTATCAAAATGATTTCAGTAATAAAATTTAAGAATTACCTTTCAAAAATTATTACATAAAGTAGAGGAAGTATCAAAAATTAATAATTATGAGTTCAGCTTTAAACAATTTTGCTTTACATGATGAGAACTTAAAGCAGAAATTCGGACTAATTAAGTGAGCAAGCAATTCTCTTTTGAGATAAATCTGACCTTATTGCTTCAAATACACCTTATGTTTCTTTGTAAATCAAAATTTTTTCTTAATTTTTATATCTAACTTAGAGTTTTGAATTATAATATGGGTGAACAATAAGCATTGATTCATGATAGTTCACAAAATTCTCTTCAACTAAAATTCAGATAAAAGTATATAGTAATGTTAAAAGGTAAAAGCTTTTCAATATCATTTATTGTGATGTTGGTATAAATACTAACACCAAATTTGACTCTGAAATCCTAATGATATACCGGATCTAGTTGGTCACTCAGATAAAGCTGACTAATTTTATCTTGAAAGCAATATAACTCTCCTTGTGGATGAAACTACACGTTTTAAGTTTAGAATTCAATCGATGTTAGATTGTTATTGCTATTCAAACTTGGTCTCTTCTACTTTCATCACAATGGTACGATTAAGATGAGGAAAAGCTGGCTGGCATTGTATTGGAAGTTGTTCATCAAACACTGACTCTGTATTTGCATTTGGTAGCAGATGAACATAAAATGCAGGCTAGCAGTAGCTTGAGCCTTATGGCTTTCAAACTTGAAATCAGGCAAGAATAACGAATTACAGCACCCTGCCTAGAGTATTTTTTGGATCTAGAACTTGTTAATAGGATTGCCAAGAAATTGTTTATAGAGTGTGTTGTATTTCACTTTGATATCAAAAGATTAGATGGAGATTTGTTGTTCAAATAAATGGTCAAGCGCTAGTTTTTATTCTATTAATAAATTTTCAAAACCTGGCTATCCAATATAAAAAAATAAATGAAAATGCTCATCCAATCCCTTAAAAAGAAAGGAGAAATATAATAACTATAAACTCTAATCATTAAATCAAACATTCCTTACAAGATTTAATGAATTTAATTAAAATTTATTATTGCATTTCTTAATTTAGTACGATATCTAAATTTTGTAAAAGCGAGAAAATGATTATAAAATTTGGTAAATCACTTTTTATTTATTAAATACTATATGAGATAATATTCATTATTTGTATTTACATAAAACTCGTCTCATGTTATTTTGAAATAAAACAGAGAATCTTAATGATATTAAACTTGGCTAAGACTAGGGTTAAAAGTTTAAATAATATACCTTTTCTTTGGAATGTATAATGTCAATGTTTAATGGATTTGGATTCCTAAAAGAATCTGCTTAATTTTTAATAAAAATATTTAAACAGCTATATATAAAATATATAAAGGAATAATTCATATTACTTATTATTAAACAATCATTTTGCCTTGTTTGCTATTTTTGTTGAGATTTACAATATACTTAATCTTTGATATAATACAAAGTCATGTTTAAATGAAGTTACTGATTCCTGAGTTTAATTTTACAATCTATTTTTTTTAAACTGTTTAAAATTCTCTCCATCTCTTTCTATTGGTGGCAATTAAGAAAATTATTTCAAAAAAAGAGAGATTGTTATCTACTTATAAATTAATTGGAATAAAATCAAGTTTTCATTATCTCTATATTCTTTCTTGATTAAATTGTTCCCTTATCAGATAACAATTATTGGAGAATACCATCTGTCAATGGACTTTGGGTTTCTTTGAGNACATGACCCTTCGAATGAGGCTTTTTGGAGCAATCCCTAAAGTGATCTTAGGATTGCCCTCTTCAGTTTGCTTTCACGAAGTTATACCCATTCCAATACTAGCTCAAACGGAATTGGACTGTCCCAGCAAGACATCCACAGATAATTCCTAGCGAAAGATTCTTGTCTCAGCATGGCCCATGGTAAGGTAATTCTGGCCCGTTTCTCAATGTCTTTCCCTTTTTTTTATGGTCCCTAGATCTTATAAGCTAATTTAGGCCTAATTCTCCATTCCCTCTAGACCTATTTTGGAGGAAGAATTCATAAAATAATATTTTATTTTTGTTGAATCTATTACAATTATGAAAAAATAATTAAGGATTTTCTTTAACTTCATTACTACCAACTAAATTTTATATGAGTGTACCTCACTTTGATATCAAAAGATTAGATGGAGATTTGTTGTTCAAATAAATGGTCAAGCGCTAGTTTTTATTCTATTAATAAATTTTCAAAACCTGGCTATCCAATATAAAAAAATAAATGAAAATGCTCATCCAATCCCTTAAAAAGAAAGGAGAAATATAATAACTATAAACTCTAATCATTAAATCAAACATTCCTTACAAGATTTAATGAATTTAATTAAAATTTATTATTGCATTTCTTAATTTAGTACGATATCTAAATTTTGTAAAAGCGAGAAAATGATTATAAAATTTGGTAAATCACTTTTTATTTATTAAATACTATATGAGATAATATTCATTATTTGTATTTACATAAAACTCGTCTCATGTTATTTTGAAATAAAACAGAGAATCTTAATGATATTAAACTTGGCTAAGACTAGGGTTAAAAGTTTAAATAATATACCTTTTCTTTGGAATGTATAATGTCAATGTTTAATGGATTTGGATTCCTAAAAGAATCTGCTTAATTTTTAATAAAAATATTTAAACAGCTATATATAAAATATATAAAGGAATAATTCATATTACTTATTATTAAACAATCATTTTGCCTTGTTTGCTATTTTTGTTGAGATTTACAATATACTTAATCTTTGATATAATACAAAGTCATGTTTAAATGAAGTTACTGATTCCTGAGTTTAATTTTACAATCTATTTTTTTTAAACTGTTTAAAATTCTCTCCATCTCTTTCTATTGGTGGCAATTAAGAAAATTATTTCAAAAAAAGAGAGATTGTTATCTACTTATAAATTAATTGGAATAAAATCAAGTTTTCATTATCTCTATATTCTTTCTTGATTAAATTGTTCCCTTATCAGATAACAATTATTGGAGAATACCATCTGTCAATGGACTTTGGGTTTCTTTGAGTTTTTACTTAAGGATTAAGATGTTTATATATCTTAGAGTATGTTAATAATAACACACAATAATTGAGATTATAATTATTCACAATATATTTTGAATAAGATTTAGAAGTCCACACAATAATTTTATTGTGAAACACATTATATGAATTCCTTCTCATTTGATTTTTGGATCTCAATTTTTTCTAATTTAGACTAAATATTATATGTAAATTATTTACACCTATTAATCTAATATTTATTTTCAAGTTCTTTCAGATTTAAATGTAATAATTGTTAAGTACCCTTTATCAATTCTTCAAAAGCAAAGTGTACTTAAAATAATATATATGATGTATTCTATATTGATAAATAAAGTAAGTAAATAGACTAATAATGAATTTTTTTTTTGAATATTTGTTTAAATTTTCCCTATATATAATAAAATCATAATCAGGCCATAATTCCAAAAAGACTCAAAGTAATGATTGGTAGAATCATGCCATAATCATCTGTATTGGGATCTGTAGTGTTGCCATTACTTGAATTATTGTTTGAATTATTTGGTTATGTAGATCCAGCTAAACATTTCTCACACTTGCTGGTTGCTGAATTCCATGTGTAAGTATATGCAGATTTTGAGTAGCATATCTTTGGATCTGTCATGGTGCCTGGATCTCCAGGTGTACACTTGCCGTTTTGGACAGTACATACAGTGAAGCTTTTAGCGTCAAAGCTAGGGACTGGTTAGCAATCTGTAACAGTAGCAAAGGTGTCGCAAGTATGGGAAACACAAGATGTAGTAGTTCCAGCTTAACTCCATTTGCAACTCTTGTTAGTTCCACAAGCGATAGAGTCAGAATTTGCATCAGAGCATTGTGTGAAGGTCTTGCAAGTTCCATTAACTTTATCAGTAGCTGAATTGGGTGTGAAAGCACAAACAACCTTGTTAGTACCATCCAATCCTCCTCCATTACAAGCTTCCAAAGTTTTGTAGGTTGAGCAAGCTGCTTTAGGGATACAGTTCTTTGTATTAGAAACACATTCTTTACCAGTAATAACATTAGTACAAGCTGAATTATTCGTTCCTTTATCTATGTCTTCACATTACTTTAATCTACATGTTTTGGTTCCAGTAGTTTAACCAACAGGGTAGGAGTAGATGCATGTTCCGTCTGTTCCTGTGAAGCATCCAGGTTCGAGGTAACTTGAGCAGAGTCCTAGAGGGATACATTTAGTTCCATCAGTTGTGCAGGTACCACTACTGACAACTTGAGATTTACAACTTTCATTAGTAGTTCCAGTAAGATCTGAGCATTCCTTCAACTTACATGCTGAGCCATTCCAGAAACAAATACCATCAGTACCAAGATTATTTTTGCATGCAATTTCTGTTTTGTAATCAGCGCATTTACTCTTAGCCACACATGTAACTCCATCTGTGATACAACCACCATATGCCTAGCATGTATTTTAATCGTTTGAGACTGCATCGGAACATTTATCGAATTTCTTGCATTTTTCAGTTGGTAGATATCCACAGTCACCATCAGTTCCCTTATTACATGATGCCTTTAAGACAGTTTTCTCACAAGATGTAATTGGTATGCAGGTTTCGCCATTGGTAGTACAAAGTGGAGAGAAGGCTTAACAAGCTTCGAAAGTTTTAAATAGAGCATCTTCGCATCTATCATAATCATAGCAGGTTGATTCAACCCAAAGACAAGGTCCGCTCTTTGATGAGAGACAGTATTATTTGGACTTGAAATCACCACAGGTTTGTGCTGAAACACACGCTGTGCCATTTGTTTTACAACCAGTCAAATGTGCGTCACATTCAGCATCAGTAGTTGCACTTAGATCTGAACATGCTCTTTCTCTGCATTTATTGTTTTCCCATCCACATCTACCCAATTCTTTAGTCAAAGCATTCTTAACATATGAGGCGCTCTTACAAATTGATTCATATTTATATCCTGAGCAAGCTGTCATGGTGATGCAACCAGCACCTGTGGTTGTACAATTGCCATCGAAATCATTGCATTATTTGTGAGTGTTGATAGATGCAGCTAGATCCTCGCATTTCTGATCTCTACATACTTTACCTAATTCTGTCCAAGCACAATACTTTTTAACGTCTACATCATTAACTTTGACTGTTATGACTGTGTTAATACAATTAGATTGACTTGTGCCACTTTAAGCAGAACATCCTGTTTTTTTAGGTTCACAGAAGTTAGCCCATGTGCATTCAGGTCTTGATTTACAAGAATCTTAATTGATCAAAGTACTGCAATCTGAAGTTTCAGTACATCCATAACCATTAGTTAAACAAGAAGAATGGTATTCCTTGCACTCCTTATCTGTTTTCAAAGTATTTGGTGCTTCTGTGCACACTTTTCTAGCACAATTTCCAACAATTGTACCAACACTTGTTGATTTGCATGGTCCATTTGTAGCAATATAAGTTTGGCAAGTTATTTCTGTTCCTTTAAATTCTTCACATTTCTTGCCATAGGATTCGCAACCTGTTCCATTATAGACACAGAATGGATTGTCAGTGGCTTTAAATGGTTTCATTCCATCGCTACATTCTTTATTGGTAGTTCCTGTTATATCTGTACATTTCTTCTTTTGGCAAGAGGTTGTTTCTGTAGCACCAGCTGTATTATAGCAATAATCATTTCCATTTGTTCCCATAAATTTGGCACAAGTATCTTTAAGTCCTTTGTAGGCTGAACAATCAGCTGATTTCTCAACACATCCAGTTCCTTTTGTTACGCAGCCAGTTAGATAGGCCTTGCATTCGTCATCTGAAGTTGCACTAGTATTGTCTGAGCATTTTCTGTCTTTGCAATAACTTGTTTCTGTATTTCCAGCATCTCCAGAGCATAGAATGTACACATCAACTTTATTCGTGTTATCATAATGAGAGAATTGTTTGAAAGCTTCGCATTTATCTTTTGTTCCTCTATACTCAGAACAAGGTCTGTCTTTTGGAATGCATCCAGTACCTCTAGTCACGCAGCCCTTCAACCAACTGTCACAATCTGGATCAGATTATGAAGTCACATTATCGTAGCAAGTTCTAGTTTGGCAAGCACCAGATGTGACAGCAGCAGTATTTACCTTACAATAATCTTTAGCTGTGCTATCGAATAAATATTGACAATAGTTTTGGTTACCAGTAAGAGAAGTACATTATGTAGTATCATCTATACATTTTGAACCATTAGTCTTACAAGTTTTCAAATAGCTCTTGCAATCTTAATTAGTATAGAAACGGGCTGTTGGTGCATCACTGCATGTTCTAGCTGCACATTTAGTACCATCCAATTTGCATTTATTGTCACTTGAATCAGTAACACCTTCACACCATGATTTCTTTTAACCATCATCTGCTAAATCTCCTGGGAGTGTATATGATGAGCAAGCAGTCTTTGTAATACATTTAGTTTGATAATATAGGCAACCTACAACATTACTTTTGCATCCAGTTTCATCACCATCATTATCAGCACACTCTTGAGCTCTGCATGATTTTGCAGCTGTTTTATGTTTTATACATGGGTAAGTTCTAGTAGCTTCTTTCAAACTCTTGCATTATGTCTCTTCATTACCAGTTTCTGGTCCTTAGCTTACATCAGTTGTACCAATATAAGTATCACAAGCACCTAATTTTGCACAGTTATTTCCCCAAACATAAGTGCACTCTGCATTTGAAGTATCTTTCAATGAGTTGCATGTAGTTGATTTATTAGTTGCATCTGTAACATCGTAAGTTTTACAATCTGATAATCTTGGAGTGCAATTAGCTCCTGAAATGTATGTGCATTTAATACTATTTGATGTTAATGAGTCACAATATGCTTTCTTATCTGTTCCTGATGCTGGAATTTTAGCACATCCATCAGTTGTATTGTAACAGGTTCCTGAAATATAAGTGCATGTCTTTCCAGGAACTCCTAAATCACATGAAATTTGTGATGTTGCGTTAGTGATATCGAAGCAGTCAAAATCTCTGCAATTAGATTCTCCTGTTGTAAAGGCGCACTTATGAAATTTGTCATCTACTTTACTAAGACAATAAGTTGGCTTTGCAGTTGCATCAGTTGGTAATGTGGCATATGTTGAGCATGCACCTGTAACTGCACATTTAGTTTCAGGTCCAGTTTTGAACTCATCATATGTACAAGGTTTATTTGATTTAGTGATGGATTAGCAGAATGTTGTTTTTCCACTTGCTACAGTAATATCAGTAGGAACAACAGCATCAGTGCAAGCTGCCTCTGCTGTAACATTTGTTCTACATTTTCCATTTGAAAAGGCACAGCCAAGTATTCTATTATCACAATCTCCTTAACTTTATGGGTTTGGAATATCCTCACATGTTGCAGCAGCACAAGCAGTACCTGTTCCAACTTTACAAAATTTCGTTTTTGTTTTGTCAGCTTACGCTGCGCAATAGTTGGCTGTAGTAATAACAGCACTATCCCATTATCCCCCAGTAACACCTGCTGAGTCAAATGAGGTACAATCTGTATCTGCATTAGCTTCACATGCAGTTTTACCTGCATTAAGTTTGCAATAATCGGATCCCACCTTCATACTATGACAAAATAATGATTTTAACGTATCAGTAGTAGCACTTGTTGGAATTGCAGCATTAGAGCATGCAGGTGCTGTAACAGCATAACATAATCCATTGAAATATAAACAGCCACTCAATTAGTTTTCACAATCAGCTTGACTAACTGCTGACGGAATTTCAGCACAAGTAGTAATATTAGAGCATGTATCACCAGTTTTATAAATACATTTTGTAAATTTACCATCTCCTGCTGCATGTTTAGTTACATTATCAATAGTATATAAACTTTAGCAAAGTGCCTTCTTTTAGGCATCTGTCTTTGTTTAATCTATTTTATAACTAGCACAACCTGTTGTTCCAGTAGCTACTGTAGTTAAACAAGTGGAATCAGTCACTTTTTGGCAGACACCTTTACCAGTAGTATACAAGAAATCATTGCAGGTCTTTTCATCTGTTTAAGTAATAACCTTTTCGCATGTGGATTAAATCGTACAAGTTGTTCCACTTATCCAAGTACATTTAACATTAGTGTCATTAACATATTTTTAGCACTCTGCTACTTTATTGTCATCAGTTGTTGTTATACCATGAGTATAGGCGCAAGTATTTAAAGGAGCATAGCATACAGATGTAGCTCCTGTGCCAGCCAATAAACAGGTTCCAGAACCTGTAGTAGTTTTAGAAATATAAGTTGCGCATGTCAAACTTGCTGTTGAATAAGAACTTAAAATTTGATCGCAAGTTCTAGCTGCACAGTTGTTTCCAGTTTTATATCCACAAAATTTACCACTTGAATCAGTGATTTAAGTACAGTATTCGAATTTGGCTTAGGCTGTTGCTGATGAATCTGGAACACTATATTAGTCACATGTATTGTAATTTATGCAAGCTGATCCTGTTTTTAAGAATCTACAGGTTGATTTGTAATTCATGCAATCTTAATGGCTTGTGGCAGTTGTTAGATCAGCGCATGCTCTATCCAAACATGAATTATATCTTTGACATTTTCCTGTACTACCTGAGAAATTGGGACATGTGTCACTTGTTCCAGTTTATGATAAGCAAGCTATTGTTGTTTTATCCACACATCCTGTTCCAGATTTAGAAACACAACCTGATTTGAATAATTCACATGCATCATCTGTTGTATTAGCATCTTAGTTATCTTCACATCTTCTTGTTGTGCATTTTGCAGCAGTTGATGTACCAAAACAATATTTATCAGGCTAATTTTTGATTTTCACTCCTTCACAGAATGATAAAACACCATAATAATCGCCACAAGTAGCAGTATCTGCATTTACACAACTATCTTTTCCATCAAATACACATCCTGATAAGAAACCATCGCATTAGCCCTCTAGCATTCCTGATGCCATTATGCATGTCTTTGTCTTACAAAATGAATCTGCAGTTGCAGTTGAATCATTATAGCATTACTCTGTTTAATAATTATTTATAGATCCTGATTTGTATCCAAACAATTTATTGCATGTATCTCTATCCCCTTTTAATTAAGTACAAGTCGTAGTATATACAATACAACCTTTGCCAGTACTGATACATCCTGGATTCCAAGTTTCACAGGATGGATTATCCTATGCATCGGTATTTTCTGTACATAATCTTTAAGTACAACTAGTTGTTTCGGTTGCTGTATCTGTATTTGTGCAATATCCTGGATAACCTCTACAAGTATCTTTTGTTCCTTTCAATTTTGGACAATCTGATTTGGTAATACATGCATCAACTCCATTACTAATACAGGAACTCAATTCATTTTAGCAATTAGCATGAGTACTGTAAAAAGATCCAGTGAGATGAGAACATTAAAGCTCTTCACAACCTAAAGATCCCCAACCACATTTTTTGGTTACCCATTTTTCAATTGTCCGCTCTTCATCGGAATACCCATCAAAAACTCTAGCTGTATTAGCCATACATATTGCCTTCTTCTTAAACTTTGAACATTGTGAGTTACTTGTACATATTGGCTACCAATTACAATCTTTTGTTCCTTCACAACTTTATTGCTTAACTGTATATTCGCAGGTGGTTGCAGTTACACAACCAGATCCAGTTGTTACACAATTAGTGAACCAATTGGCACAAAGTGGATTTGTATTTGTTGATGAAGGAGCAGAAGCACAATCTCTAGGTGAACATTTAGCTCCAGTCTTCCAAGTACATCTACCTTCTGATCCTACTCTTGGATTGCATGCAGCAGTTGAATCTCCGTCATATTCAGTACACTTTTTTAATGCAGCCTTAGTTGAACATCCTTTACCTGTTGTTACACATCCTTTTTAATATTTATCACATGCATCATCAGTAGTCAAAGTATCACCTGCTTAGTCGCATACTTTTGGTGAGCAATTTGCTTCAACTGTTGTGCTAGTACCTGTGCAGTAACCATCCAATCCAATATAAGCACTGCATGCAGTTGCAGTACCTTTGTATGTGTTACAATTTTGTAAAGCACTCACACATTTAACACCGTTTGTCACACAAGTCTTTTAATAATCCTTGCATTAATCATCAGTCTTGAAGCTTGCATTCTCGCATTTTCTTGCTCTGCATTTTGTACCTCCAGCATCTCCTTCACAAACTCCATCAGATCCAATATATCCGACACAACTTGTATTATCACCATCATAAGTTGAACAGAGTGGTTTGACTGTTCCTAAATAGCAGCCCTTTCCTGTTGTTATGCATCCTTTTTAATAATCTTTGCATTCATCGTCTGTAGAAATTGATTTTGAGGCTCCAGTGCATTCTCTTGCTTTACAATTAGTAGTGTCTTTTGCCAATTCACATTTTCCATCAAAACCGATATAAGACTTGCAATCATCTTCAGTTCCTGTATAAGCTGAGCAATTTGGTAGGGGTGATGACCAGCATCCCTTTCCTCTTGTGACACAAGTTGATTACCAATCTTTACATTGTTAATCAGTAGTATAACTTACATCTGCTTCTGAACATGCATAATCTCTGCATTGATTTGTAGTGGTATCGTATTTGCATTTAAAAATTCCTGAAATGCTTGGAGTACCTTCGCATTGACTTTAAGTGTATTTGCCGCATTCTTAAGCTTCAATGCAAGCTGCGCCATCACTCACACAACGATATGAGATAGCTTGGCACTCTGATACAGTAGTTTTAACGTAAGCCGAACATCCTGCGAAATGGACGCATTTTGAATCTAAATAAGCACATCCAAATGTCTTCCAGCAATTTGTTTCTGGTTTATCAATTAATTCACAATATGCTTTGTATGTGCCTTATTAAGTTCCTGTCTTTTTTTAACATTTAGCTGCTGTTGTTCCAGCTGCTGCAATCCATTCGCATGTTACTGCCTTGTAACCTTCACAATCAGTTTGTGATTTAAAAAGACCACAATCATTACATTCATTTGACTTCAACACTTGCTGTGAGCAAACAAGTGCTATCAAACATAGAGTTAAAGTTATTTTCATTAAGTTATTAAATAAATACATAAATTCAAAAATTGTTTTAAATTAGGATCTAAATTAATTTTTTTAATTGTATATCAAAAGTCATAGTTTAATAACAAATATATATCCAACATTTTATTTTAATTTAAAACTTCATTATAATTATTATTATTATTATTAAAATTCGTAATTCATAATCATTGATAGTAGAGCCGATTTGAACTTAGCTTCAAGATTTCTTCATGCTTGGCTAGACTCACCTCTCATATTGTCAGTAGGTAGATTTTTTTACATCATTATGTGGCTTCTAATTGAATAGAATTATTTTAACTAAAAAGAGCAATCTGACCCAGAATCCTTGAAATTTTAAGAAATATAGCTATCTTATGACTTAATCAATAAAGATCACTGAAAATAAAGATGTATTATACATGTAGAATGCAATTTTTTCTATTTGGAAAATACTTAAAAATTGAATCAAAGAGCAAGCAATTTGATGATAGATGTTAAATTTAGATAGAAAGAAACGAAAGAGAGAAGAATAATTTGTTTTTTTTCAATTAGTTTCATTATTTTAAGTTCTTTATTTACTCGGATGGCTTTCAATTAAAAAAAATGAATGGAAGGGTGATTGGTTATAGAATTGGTTGAAATATGTGGTCGTGAGTCATCTTAAATTTTCTCGTGAGATAATATATTTCAAATAATAAAAAATTCCAAGACTGTCTACAAACTAGTATTCTTAACTAATTTATTTAGTTTATAAAGGGTTGCCATAATTTATTTTAATTAAAATTTATATAAAGAATAAATCTATTGTTCTGGATAAAATCAGACTCCAATAAAAATCACGCAACCTGAAAATTCCTTCAAAATTTCATTCTATTTCAATCAAATTTTTAAACTCCTTTTTTCTTTAACTATATAATATTTTCTCTTCTAATTAGAGCTCGACGGCATTATTCACTATATTAATGTAGTTTCAGTTCATCTTAAATAGAAATTTATATTACTCAGTCAAATTATTCCAATACTTGACCCTACTAAGTTTGCTAGGTTTCATTATGTTTTCGCTTAAGTAAATTTTTATTCGAAATAAATTTATTTATATAATAATATAAAAGAGTACTATTTTTAGTGAAATAATAATTATTATAAATTACATACTGATTAGGTATTGGAAACTTTAAAGTAATTAGCTTACAGAATTGAGTATTATATATCTAAATTCAATAATAACTCTAATTATATATGTGCTGCATCAAACAATTTCTATAAGCATTTTAGTTAAGCTTACTTGTTAAACTAATACCCTACTAGAGTGATGGAAATTAGAATTATTATATGTAGATCAATGATATTTAACAAAAATACAATTTAATCATGATAATTATTTTTATGGGCAGATAAGATTTTTGAGACTTTCTAAATTGGATTTCAACCTATGATAAAATTCTATCAAAAGGAATATCATTTAGACTGCAATTGAAAGTGACATTAGAATAATTATCATCCATCCAATCAGTTGTTTTGCAGTATCACTTAGAATATTATGCAAATCATTAAATGCTATGACCACTGCTAGTGATACAATGAAGAAGATGCAAATTTCAGGAATTCCTATTTAAATAAATATGCTTTTTGAGCTAAAAGGATTTTAATAGAACAAAAAGGACAGATTCATAAAGCACGATAAACAACAAAAGGTTGTTTAAATTATTGGTTTGTCATATAACACCACAAGGAAGAAAATGAAGGTAAATTTTCTGACCATATTAAAGTAGCAATATTACATGGCAGTCTTATTTTTATAGTTCAGCGCCTCATAAATAGATAGGTATTTCTTTTTGAATATTTGGTGATTCAAAAGCAACTGATGCTTAGAGCTTACGTAAATGTAAACATAATAAATCACTAAGCTAAGGATTAAGAAGCAGGCAGCTAAAAAATTGTTAATTATAATAATGTAATGATTATTGGGTTTTGGGCAGTATAATTATAGGATGCAAGCCATAAATATATCCAGTAGTAGCAAGTTTATGATTGATTGGATTTTAGACCAAAAGTTGTATTAATAATCAAGAGCAGTTGTAAAAATCAGTAAAGCAAAATAAGGAAGCTTTTTTATGTTTTTATTGAGTGCTTCACTTTGCTTATTTTGTGTAGTATTAGGCTCTTAGTTGTCTAATTGACACTTCGTGAAAATATATATCTTATGACTCTTAAATTGATTGGAATTTAACTTGAGTTTGAAAATTTTAATAATAACAATAGATATGAAATAGATTATGATAGCTATGGAAATTAAGCAAGTGAAGATTTGGATATTGTTGATAAATAAAGGATTGACATTCTTTTCTTGAAATTTGAGTGGGGGTTAAAAGTAGAATGGATCATTAGGTGTATTCAAGGAGACGAAATCTGGAATATAAAATATATCATCCCATTGGAATTTTTAAAAGAATATCTTAACATTCAAAGGATACTCGATGTTGAGAAAATAGAAATTATTAATCCAAGTAAGGATTTCAAGGATAGTCCAAAAAAAGCTGATCCCCCCAAGGAGGATTGACAAAGGGCCAGTACATTAGAGTAGGAGTTAGAATTTATTAGATGTGGCAACAACGCTCTCAGCCTATTACTTTTGTTCTTAACTGTAATAGATCTATTTTCTTGGAATGATGGTAATTCTGTATTCATCCAGGAGTCTTTATCCATCAACACTTAATGGGATTATCAAATGGATTAAGTTGGTTTCTGTAATGGTTTTGAAGAATTGAAACAAGATTTCACATCCATACTGGATTTATGTTTAATTAATCTCAAAAGGAGTTAGTGTGTAGTTGAATTCATGAGTTGCAAATAAATCAATTTCACTTGTGATTTTGGGACAAATAGATTTAAAATCTATATCTCCCTTCAAGTGCAAACAGTTAGTAGTAGTGTTATTCGAATAATTAAATTCTATAGTTTTCTATTGAATTTTTTAACAGAGATTATTGTAACATGTGAATCCTTTTTCAAATTCGCATTAAGAATTGCATCCATCATTATTTATTATATTGCCATCATCGCATTATTCTTGACCAGCGACTATCATATCACCGCATTTGGTAATACATTTTTTGAGTTTAAAGTCACTATAGAATCCTTCTTTATTATCACATTTTTAACAATTTTCTATTTTACAGTTAGTGCAATTATTAGGACTACTTAGACATTCTTCACATTAATCTGAGCATTTAATACACTCATTACTTGCTAAGAAGAACCCTTTTTAACAATTGAGACAATTTATCTGACCATTAATGTACTCGCATTTACTACAATTAGATTTACATGTGTAACAATAGCTTTTTTTATCTAATGTTATGCAATTGAATCCAGGGTCAATAAGACAATTAGTGCACCCATCTCTTGGTATGGCATTAGCATCATCACACTACTCAGAACCAAGTATCAATCCATCTCCACAATCTGCTACACATTTGTCTATTGATAATTTATAACCAATTTAACAATCTACACATCTCCCTTGTTAACAAGTCTAACATAACAATTCGCATTAATATTGACACTGATAGCATCCATCGTAGGGAGCATCATTCCCATCATCGCATTGTTCTTTTCCTGCTTTAATAGAATCCCCACATTTGGAATAGCAAATATTTTATTTGTCATCATAATAATATCCTTATGATTCAATGCAAATTGTTCTTTCCAAACATCGACCTTTCTTGATGTCAAAAAAGTAGGATTCAATGCATGCTTTGCATTTTCCATATTGGCAATTGGTGCACTCCTCTTAACATTGGTATTTACAATTAAAACAACCATCATAAATGATATTATCTCCATCATCACATAACTCTTCAATTGCGATTAATTGATCACCACAAACAGGATTACAAGTGTTATTGTCTAAATTTAAATGGTATCCTAGTGTGCAGGTGATACACACACCACGAAAACAGGATAAACAATTGATTGGACAAGTTTGTTCATATTTTTCAATGTAATTTTCTGTTACTTCAATTCCTTGAATTTCAACTCTTATTCTATGAAACAAATACAATGAATCCAGATAGGATATATATTTCATGTTATTGTTTTGGATTCGATTCTCAAATAAATCAACATCGAAATACTAATCCTTCATTGGATTGAGTTGCTCTTCATGAGATAGAGTACCTTTCTCTATATCTGTTTCACTTGAATAAGGAAGAATTATTAGTGTGCATCTTTCATTTTAGAGTTAATAATTCTCATAGCATGATAGACATTCTCCAAACAGACATAATTCACAAGTTTATTCACAAGTGTACTAACATTAATGACATCCATCATCAATATTCAAATTACCGTCATCACATTATTCATGAAAAGTAACGTAAGAGTCACCGCAAATTGGATAGCAGATCTTATTCCTTAATTCATACCCATGTTAACAGTTACTACATCCTTTTCCAGAGGAATAATCACAAGTAAGGCAAGATAATCCACATTCGCATTTATTCATGATCTTATTTAGGAAATATCCATGTTAACACTATTAGCATAACTCATTCACACACATTTGACAAACTTTATCATTTTAACATTAAAACTTGCATAGTTTACTACAACCATCATCATCCTAGTTATTAGAATCATCACATTCTTCGTAATAATCAATGTCTGGAGCTGACACAATGATACCATCTCCACAGATATTTATACAATAATTTTTTTCTTGTTTCAAACCGACTCTGCATTTTGTACAGACACCTTAGTTCATATCACACATTTGACAATCATTTCTACAAAAAAAATCACAATTTAAACAATTTGAATTATCCAAGCCATCATCGCATTTTTCTTTCCCTACTTTTAATCCATCCCTACATTATTCCTTACAAGTTGAAGTAGTTTAATCCAAATACCATCCTTAAGTTGCACATTCACGACATTTTCCATTAATCTACATCGTACACTGTATTTAAACTGAAAATTAGCAATTATGACAACCATCATATTATTCTGAATTACCATCATCACAGTATTCATTAGGGCCTATTATTTTATCCCCACAAGAACAATTACTCATTGATGATGAACAAGGATTGCATACATCAGTAGTAGGGCAAGGAAACGATTGTTTAAGGAGAGTAGAATAATAATTATTAGAAACTATTGCACATTAAACTGAATTTGTTATCTAAAATCCTTCAAAGCATTCACTGCAATCTGAACTATTTGTGCACCTCTTGCAATTTGCTTAACATTAAGCGCATGCTGTAGAATTATCAAAGTAGCCATCTTAACATACACATTCGTTATTTATCAGCACTTTCAAACTATCATGCCTACATTCCAAACAGAATGTTTGATTTATACATTAATTGCAATCTTAACTACAATCTGAACATCCATTACTATCTTCGAATTTTTTTATACCACAAATGCAGCCTAAAGAAGGATCTATATAACCATCCAAACATTCTTGGCAATTCTACAATGAAGTACATCTTTTACAGTTCTTTGAACATTACTTACATTTATTTTTATAGATATCTAAATACTGACCATTTGAGCAGGCCTCAAATGTTTTAGCTGGAATACAATCACTTGCATTAGTACATTATTAACATTCAGGTTAACAATAATGAACAGCAAGATAATATTTATAAAATCCACAATATGCATTAAATGGTTCATTATTTGGACCCTTGCATTCCCATTGAACATTTAAAGTATTTGCTGTGTGTAGATACAGATATTCAAAAGTTATTTCTTGGCTTGTAGAAGTAATCTCAAATTAAATTTAATTTTCTAAGTAAAAGATGAACGATCCATCTTCTGGAAAAGATGGACCAAATATAATAATAAAGGCAAATGTCACACTATGATGAGGAGTATTTATTTCATATTTCCTTTAAAACTTTGCTTATGCCCAAATCTATGGTCCTCCAAACATTCGATATTTCTGATTCCAAATAGAATAAAATATTCCTTCACCTTTGAAAAAGTTAGATCCTTACGATTATAATAACTCATAATGTTTGTATGTTTCAGGATTTATGGATAAATCTGTGAACTCTTTCACAAGATATTCAGAATCTAAATACTTTATTAATTGATTTACATGGAGTTTAATCGTCTAATTCTAAACAATGAGTAGCATTAATTATTTTTTAGTAATTCTCTAAACATCGACTGCAGATTCCAGATTTAGATATCAAAAAATTCAGTGAGCATGTTGAACATTTAAATTAAGAATCGCATTTTTCACAATATTGTGGACATTATCCTGATGAAATTTGTATACTCCGAATTCCCCAACCTGCAGAAGATGATCTAAATAATAAATATATTGCTTTTACGCAGGATAATTGCCGACTAATTTGATTATAAAATTGTTTGAAACATTTACATACGTATATAATGTATAATACTTGTTGCTATTGTAGTTAATACCAGAATATGTAAAATTAGGCTTTGAAACTTGATATTGAACTATAAATTAATCGAATTTCTCCCCACTTCCAATATTATATATATGTGCTTTGTACGTTTCATTTATTTATAAAGAAATACTACTATTGACTGGCATTGCATTAAAAAGTATTAATTCAATTCTTATTCCAATCAAGTATATCCCTTAATTAGCCAACAAATTAAGTGTACTCAAATAACCTTATTTGTGTTGAAATATTCCATAAAAATAATAATTTTCAAATGCTGTGTTATTTAGCAGTTCTGCTCCAGGGTTTTCTCCATCTTAAATGGGTTACCATCTATATTATAACGAAGTTTTATTTTGAGATATGTATAGATTCATAAAATAAGTGACTATAATGAATATATAGAATACTTGGATATGGAACACATGAACCTTTGAAATATAGTATATAATCAATCAGGCACTGCTTAAAACATCCTTAATTCCTAATTAAATAAGGAGTTTCAATGGGACATTCATATTATTGGCAATTTGGAGGTGTTTTACCCTCAATAGCACATTATAAACATTCATCAGCAGATACACCGGAGCAAGTCCTACAATATGGGTGACATCTTAATCCTGTAATAATCAGATTTTTTATGGCTAAACTTCCTTAACTTGTTGAAATATTAAAGCTATGATATCCAGACACTTAAGTAGTATTGACAGTTGCATTTAAGACTTACTAAAAACTTTGTTTATTTGTGCATTGCCAATTATAATATTTTGGAAGAGAAATAGAATTGTTATCAAAACTAAATGTATTAGATCCAAATGAATAATTTACATAATCATTGGTCGCCCAAGCATTATAAAATATTAACTCAAAAGTGACAAAATACATTTAATAACCCCAATAAAATATGATATTGTTTTAAACATTGCTTTGAGTTTGATTTAATACAATGTAGCTGCCATTTTAACCACAACTAATATATTAAGAGGAAATGCTAATGTCTCCATTCATTTATATAAATCCATCTGTATCTAAACTGCTAAAAGTCCTAACAGCGGTAAGGTATTATCCTAATTATAGCCATTCACAATTTGCAAATTAGAGGTAAAGGAGAATTACTTGGAATAAAAAAATCATAAAAATTTGAATGCAAACCTGATTAATGTTTATTAAACTTTCATAACATATGAATTACACAAAATTTCAGATTGAAACAAATATTAATTAAATATAACCTAGTTAAGTGAAATCGTAGATCAAAGAATCAAATAGGTGGACTCTATCATTATTATAAAAGACAAATTAATTATTAGTGGTATATTATATTTAAATAAAATAGATCAAAGTGGCTGCTGATTTAACAAAATCTCCATACTATTTCTTAAGCAAACAAGCCATAACGCATAAATATTTGTCATACATTTATAAATAAGAAAATTAACCATTCTCGAATATTCCAATTAATTTTATTACCATTTTATTTTTTTTCAAACTGATAGTATGGGACTTAAATAAAAGAGTTAAAATACTTGCTTATAGAAAAAAATAAATCTAAATCTCTGATATTTTACTTTATTAAAAAGAGAGGAATATTGAATAATCAAATTTTTTGTGTAGATTTTTAAATCAGATAGTTTACAATGTTTAAAATTAGAAAAGAAATATTTTATTTTTGGGAGAATAAGATGTTTGATTACTATGCTAACTTAAATACTCATTAATAACATTTATGAGCATCTAAATTAAACCTATATAATGAAAACTTTAACTTAACTATTAAATAAATCAAATATGAAATTTAAACTCCAACTGGAAGTCAAAATTAATTCTAAACTAAGATTATGAAATAATCTCATTGGTAATAATTAGAATTGCCTAAATATCATCATATTTTGTCTCTATCTGTGACATTGTTAACCTTATCCAAGTTTAAATTTCAAGCGTTAAATTAATCATAATCGAATTACAAGAAGAATCAATACATTTGGGATCGCTTCTACTATGCTTAAAATATTTAGCCTGCATGATTACTTACATATAAATGTTTAAAGAAATATATGAAGTACTTAATGTGACACCAATAATTGAAGATTTATTACTAGATATTAATGAAAAAATAACATCAATGTCTTTACAATTAACAATTTATTACATAATGTATAAGTCAGAGAATAAGAACTTAGAATATATCATAGGTGAATTTAAACTTATTTTGGATTAATAACAAATAATTGTGTATATTTACCTGAATAAATACCAATGACAACAATCACTAATTCGAGAAATTTGAAATAAATATTATATTTATATCCAATAAAATATATATTGTAATGTTTCATAATTGATATCACAATAATTAAGCAGTCAATTTTTATTAATCAAAATGTGCCTTTTCTAATTTATGCAAGAATTGAATGCATTAAATAAATTTCTCGAAATTAGGTACCAAGTCAGATGATTAAGCCAATACTTCATCCCAGATAACTTAAATTTTCATATCATCTTAATGGAGCTTCTGTAAATAATATCTTTACTTTTTCATTCAAAGTTCTCATAACCTTATGAACAGCTTTTAGTTAATTTCTAGTAACATTTTAAGCTGATTCAATTTGTTAATTAACTTCATCTTTTTAGTCAGACTATGACTTGATGTTTTCTTAGTTTAAGTCATCATTTTGAGAGTTAACTTGTTATGGTTGATTATCATTTCCTAAGGCATTATCTTTTGAATCAATGGTTGAAGTGATTTATTATTCTCTATCTGATGAACTCTATGGTTGACAAGACATTTAATCATTAATTAAATTTTTCTAAGATATCAATAATAAATAAGTACAAATTGCTAGGTGGTTCCAAATTCATTTTTCTGCAAACAGTTGTTAGTTTCTTTATCTATTTTATTGTTTTTCATCTTCTATGACTATTTAATTTAAGGTTAATTTTAAGGAATAAAATGACTTTCCTTAATTAATTTAGACCTTTAGGGAGCCACTTCGAATTGATTATTATTCTGCTATTAAGCTGGTAAGAGTTACGAATTTATTTATTAACAATCAGTTATAGATTTTCCAATTTTTTAAGTAGTTCTCTGCTATTATTTATTAATTCCAATGTTAGTCTAAGCTTTAATATTAGAATGCAACTACTCTTAAGGAGAGTTCAAAATTGGAATGTTTGATGATTCTTAATTTCTTTCGATTTGTTTGCCATCAGAGTTGAGATCCTTTTTGATATCTAATAAGTGACTTTTTTTTCCTGAATCCTTAGCATCAACAAGAGTATTTTTTTGATTGATAGTCTAAGTCTCCACACTGCTTGAAGTAGGTTAAATTAATCCATTCGTTTGAGTAGCCTTATTTTGTTCCTGACTTTATGTCTTCTATTATAAAATTCTATTTTCTTGAATTGGGTTTTCATTCTATTAATTATATAATTTTACTTTTAGAAATTTAAGATTGTGATTCTATTCTGATAATACCTTTTCAAAATCTTACTCTAATCTTTGGTTATTTTGGCTCGTTTTCTCTTTTGATTAAAGTTCTACAATATTTGTGCTAGTGTCTCCATCTTTTGCCTTGTCCTTTTCTCTATTGGATTAGATAAAAATAGTTTTCCAGTACTCTTAATACAATACTTTTTTTTTGAGAAGCTTGTCTTATTTTATCTGCTTTTTATTCATAAAGAAGTATTTTAATTATTCTTGGTAAAGCATTCAAAAAATTAGCTTTCATTCATAATGATAAAACAATTAAATATATATAATCACGATTATGTTTTATTTATTTAAAACTTTTAATCATGTTGTAGATTGACTCCTAATTTGTATAATATTATAAAATCTTAATGGGTGATTCACAAATAACAATATTTAGATCATTACTGAAACAATACAAATTTGAAGTCCTCCAATTCTTATGCCTTTTTAGCTTCACCACTAAAGGTTCTTTTAATTTAGAACTTCTTTTTCTAATGCAGCAAATTTATTGATTATTCGATAGTATTTCTACATAAAAATCTAACAACTTTAACTTGATTTTGTTATCCAATTCTGTCAGCTCTTCCAATGGCTTGATCTTCGATAGCAGGCTTGCTAATTTATTCATAAAAATACATTCCACCAAGGGTCAACTAAAAATACATTGTTTGCCATAGTGAGATTCAATCCGGTGGATGTAGCTCGTAATGAGAGTAAGAGTGCAATAGCATCTTAAGATTCTTTGAATTATTTAATCACTTTCTCTCTCTTCTCAACACTCATCTGTCCAGTAATTCTAAAAGCAATGATGCCGTTTTCCTAAAACAAGTTATCAATCAATTATATCATGTCAACGGATTAAGTGAATATCAAGACCTTCTCCTTTTATTGTTACACAACCTTAGTTTTATTCAAAATAGCTTCTAACTTGGAACTTAGACCGAACTTCAAAGTTTTCAAGTCTTCAAATTCATCATCATTTTCCACTTTGATTTCAATTAAATCAGTGATCGACAAGTTTGTTCTACAGACTGGACACAATTGCTATTAATTTATGGCCTATGTGAAACACCTAAGAATTCAATTAATGGATTACTTTCTACAAAAGATATGGCCACAAGAAGACAAACAAAAAGTATCAACTTAAGTACTAGTACAAATTTCACATTCTTACAAATCTCCATTTCTTATATTTTCCACTAATGATTTCTTATACACTTCTGTCATATTGGCATGTTGTTATTTGTTGCTGAAGAATGTATTAATTCTGTCTATCACTTCTTCCATGGGTGTTTTATCTAAATTAATTTCCTTCAGTGCTAATTATGGATGGTTGCATGCTAATTTTAATTTATTGATGATTTAAAATATATGCAAATAAGATTTATTATTTTTACCAATGGTGAAATGTTTAAAGATAGCTTAAGAACCAGCTAATAGTTTCTAATACAGTATTTTTTCCTTCTCATTAAACTCAACCCAACAGATTTCCTCCTCTACTTAATTAAGCCCATCCATTCTTTGAGAGTTCTTGGTCCTCCTCAGTATTATAGGCTACAAAATCTAAGATAAAATTCTCTATTAATCGTCTTCATTTTCTTCCTTGTTAATGTAGGTATTCCACCAAAAACTAAAACTTAATTACATTAGATTACTATTCAGAAAATGTTTCAACTCTCAGAAATTGCAGCAAACTAAATAAATCGTCATGTTTATTTTGCATCGGAGTTCCAGTTAAACACCATCTGAAATCAGCATCCAAAGCTATGGCACTCTTGGATTACAATGTTTATCGAATTTTGATATTATGAGCTTCATCTAAAATGACCCTATGAAATTTCTATTTAAATAAATTGTTATGTTCCTTGGCTATCTCCAATTGTTCCGGACTCAATTACCTTTTCTTCTTTTATTTCTCTTACTTTTCCTTCTTCACTTGCTGTCTCAATTGCTATTTAAATTATCTCTCTTTCTTTCTCTTCTCCTGACAATACTCGTAGAAAGGATTGTAATAGGACTGACTTTAGTAATTATCATCTTCTGAACTACTATTATAAATATCCAAAGTATTAGATAAATCGCTGATCTCATCTAAAGATTATCCTCTTTCAACTAAACTATCATTCTGCGCTACATTACCATCCTACTCAATGTTTATATTATTAATTTGATTCCAAATTTAAAAGTCAATGCTCAACACCGCATAGGTAGTTAAAATTATATCAAAGTTTTTAAAATCTATCTTCTTGTTCTTTCTGGCTTTCTTCGAGTAGTAAACTAAGACCTTTAAACTCTCAGGTTTTGAATGCTTAACTATTTCCTTCTCCCATTGCTTTATTACTGATTTAGGAACTACAATCAAGGTCTAGTGTTCACGATTAAGGGTTTCCAGAATTAAAGCTAGAGCCATTAAGGTTTTCCCTAAACCCATCTCATCAGCCAGAATACCTCCCTTGGTCTCTTGAAGTGCAACCTGTTCTTTAGATACCTTACCCGTGAACATATTGACATATAAAGATTCCCCGCCTTATAATTTATACTCCTACCATAATGGAGACAATTATTACTTTTATTGTAATTAGTGATCGGTGATATGACCTTCCCTATAGAGCATCCAAAACAAGGCTTCCTTCTAATGTTTCTTAAGCTCAGATAACATCAATTTTGGAGTATCATATTCCTTAAGCATCAGTTTATTTATTAGAAAAATGTCATTTATATCTTATTTATTAAGCTCCTAATTTGCTTTTTGATATTTAATTTATTCCTTAATCTCCTCAAATTTTTCTTTTTACACATGTCTCTCAAACTCAGTATATCCTTAATTGGTTTTCTAGTAAAAGAATCTCTATTAAAAGAATTGACTTAAAATATCTTAATATTGTTGAGTAGATTTTCTATTTATCTTGAAATCAACAAAATATAAATCGAGTATCGCATTCTTAGAATACTAGTAAATTTTGAGATTGTTATCACTCAATAAGTTGAGTTGATCTTGATTCGATCTGCTCAAAGCATCTGTAATTTATTTACGAACTTTTATCAGATTCTTATGCTAATTCAAATACATGGAATCTTTCAAAACTATTTCAGATATCTGAAAAGTGCATAAAAAAACAGACTTTAAAACATAATCATCATACAATTCAGCAAACTTATTATCAGCCGAATTCTTTGAACGCTTTATAAATGTTTTAACATATTAAAAAAATTCCAAACCAATCCTTTGAAATAGCTCATGATTAATTGGGTAGATTTCTTCCATTTTTGGATAATATGCTTTCTTGTATTGATTCAAAAAAGTTTAAGGGCCTGTTTAATAGACAGCTAAGTCCTGTATCAATCTTTTTTCAAATAAATTGTTGTTAAACCTCTTACTGTTAATGTAGGTCTCAAATAATTGTTACTTCTCTATGATAGGGCGAGGATATGATTTAAGCAAACTTTTGATTGAAAAATTGGCATTGGATTTCTAAAAGAATTGGCAATATTAAGCAAAGAAGATCTTAAATTATTTGTTTTATTTAATTAAGCAACTCTCCTCTATTGGTACATTCATAAAATCCAACATCAACAACAAAGAGAGTCTTGCATATTTTAACAACTCCATCTGGTTTTCCTCTTCAGGGGTTAATTGTTCTGTCCTTTTGTTGTACCTGTCTATCTTCATTTCGTAATCATCATCTATGGCCAATTATGTCAAATACACAGAAACCTCAGCAACTTCAACCGTTGACTAGTTCGGCTTTATTATCCTCACCCCTAATTTCACATACCCAGCATTCAAGAGAAAGAACCATATTTCATCATATAAATGCAAAATTTTACCATGATTATTATATACTTTCCTAATTACCTCCTTCCCTTTTCTTACCTTGCAAACTATTCTGTCAGATTCAGATTGATTAATATCGCTGCTAACTACATATAACTTCTTCTTCTTCATTTGCTTCACTTTCTTCTGTTAGTCAAAAACCTTAAGTTTCACCTTTAATTTATTCTTACAGTTCATGTCGCCATTACATTAAAATTAGCAGAAAAACTTTCCAATATATAATTCTGGCTTTTTCTATCCTTATTGCAATTCTTACTTTTCCTACATTATAGGACTTTTTTAATTGGTCTTAATATAAAATAAAATTATGAATGAAGTAGTATATGTGATTTGTAAAAATTATGAATGAAGTAGTATATGTTAATTGTAAAATTATAGTTCAAGTTCTAGTCAATTATAACTAACCTTATAAATTAAACATTCATCGCTTGTTGAAAACAAGAATTTGGTCTCACATAATTAGTCAAATATAGAATAATATTTTAAAATAATATATATATGTTCTAGAAAATAAGCCATTAGAATAGATTCCAAACTTTTTTTGAGCCATTATCTGATGGTCTTGTCTATGTACGTGGATTTATAATTTTTTTCTTGAAAATCTAGAATCAATTTTAATAGAATTTAGTAATAGAATTAAGACTCAAATATAAATCACTACAGTGTAATTTTTTACAATATTTCAAATGAATCCCACTTATGACTTATTAGGAATGATAGGACAAGTGGAATAGTAAATAGTATAGCTAGTAAAGATCAAACCTTAAGAATCATAACAAGTTCCAAGTTAAAAAATTGAAGATCAACCATTGTTTGAGAGCGTTTAAGAATAATGCGAAAGGAATTCTGTTTACTCTTCACAAAGAACTCGCTCTGATAACAGTTCATAAATACTGTTACATCAATTACAAACCAATTTAGAAGTAATTAAAAAAGGAATCAATGAATTATTAGTTTATAATAAAAATACCTATTATGACTAATTGAGAAACCATTTAAATACGAAAGAAGGGAAGATTAAATGTTTTGTGAGAAGTGAAAACACTTATGATTCAGACTAAAATAAAGGAATCTAAAAAAATATTAAATTAGAAGTACAAGGGGCAGAAGCCTCTATTAAGAACTATAAAAATCAGATGGATATATTGACTAATGAGTTGAAATCAATATTATCAAGTAAAATAGATTTACAAAAGAGATAGAGAATCTAACATATAGAATAATAATATGAAGAATTAAGAAAGAATTTATACTTTCTTCGATAACTGTAAGATAACATTATGCAGTTAGTATAGTGTGATGCTTCCTTTGAAGATACATTAAAATAATGCAAAGCGAGATGGGAAAGAAAAAATTGAATATATCTATAATTTATTTAAGTGAATTAATAATATATGAATTTTGCAAAATATTAATTCAAGAACAAAAAACTTCTCAAAATTACTACATAAGATCAAACCAATTGCATATTTTTAGGAGATATAAAAGATCATTGATAAGCACATGATTTATAATATTATAGAATCAAGAATATTTTTATATAATAAGACAAGCAGTAAATGAATTTATTTATGAATATTTCCATACTAGTGTGCAATAAAATTTAAGAAAATGTTTTATATTCTTAGAGTTTTAGTTATTAAAATTTAAGAATATTAACAAATAGGAAAACCATCAGATGAATATGGAATATGTGATTATTATACCAAATTTATTATTAAACCTATACAATTAAATCTTTGATGATGAAATATGTGATGATTATAGTTCAAATAAGTTTATCTTATAATAAAATTATAACGTATTCTTATTTATAAAGATCAAATCATATATTAAATAATAAAAATCATAGATATTTTCGAGTCTATTTATTTTTGGCAATCTCGAAAATAACTTAAGAATTAGAATATCCAGTATTTAATACGAGTTTAGAAAATTAAGTTCGTTTATCTATATTGGTTGAATCTAGAGATTTTGCTAGGAGATTAAATGGTTCATCAAATTCTAGAACAATTCCATTTTCAATGACCATAACTTTATCATAATCAGCAATAGTGTTCAATCTATGAGCAATAGTAATAAGTGTACAATCCTTTAATTATTTTTTAAGCGTATTTTAAATGAAGTCATCTGTTTTCATATCAAGATTAGCAGTTGCTTCATCTAAAACAATAATCTTCTTTTTATATAATAGAATTCTGGCTAAGCAAATTAATTATTTTTATCCAACAGAGAATAAAGAATTAACATCACTAATATCTGTTAATAAACCATTCGAAAAAGATCTAGTATATTCCTTTAACCCTGCAACTTCTAAAGCTTGCCAAATAGCTTAATCATCATATAAATCAAAAGGATCTAAATTTTATCTAAGACTTCCAGTAAATAAGAATGGAGACTATGGAATAATACCAATGCTACTTCTCAGTTTTTATAAGCCTAATACTTTGGTATTAACTCCAGCTATTTCAATTTTCGATCCTTCATAATTTTCAATTTCATTCATTCTAAATATCACTTACAATATTGAAGATTTCCCAGCTCCTGTTCTACCCACACAGCCAATTTTCTACCCACTTTTTATATCAAATGTCAATCCTTTTAACACTAAATCCGAATTACATCTATATCTCATATAAACATTTTGGAATTTAATATCACCTGATTCTGGAAAATTTGGTATTTTTAAATCTTCTTCTTTCACTTAAGGTGCCTCTGATATCACATCTATTATTTAGAACATTCTATTATATGAACTCATTTATGTTGCAAAATTAATCAACTATTTTAATCCTAAGGATAATCCATCGTTGTAAGTGGTCAACAATAATACACCCTATGAGAAAACAGCAACGTCATCGTAATTCATATTTAGAAAAATGAATAGACTAATAGAGGAAGCAATAAATCCAATAAAATCTATGTTAAAGCAAAAGGATCTTGTTTAATAAAAATAAGTTAAAGCATTTAAATTATAGACATTTGATAAATCTAAGAACTGTTTCTTGAATAGACTCTATTATTTATACACTTTTATTTGAATAGATCCTCCTAACGTTTTTTTTATGAAATCAAATATTGGACTTCTCTGAATTAGTTCATTTTCTTTCAATTAACTTACAATTTGATTGTAAAAATTATACTGATAAAGGTTAAGAGCAATGATAAAGAAAATAACAAAGGTAAAATATGGTTGCAAGATGGCCAAAGTTATTAAGGCGATAAAGAAATTTCCAATCATTTCTAAAATATCCAAACAAACTTAGTTTGTTGAATTATCACACAATGATAAATCATTTGAAAATCTATTTATAATTCTACCTGATGGATTTACATCAAAATATGAAATTGGAGCTTATGCAATTGAATCAATCATCTGATTATGAATGTTTTGAGTTGTCGCTTGAACTTATTTAATATTAATAAGATACTTTATAAAACTACAAACCATTAATCCAATCACTAAACATGATAACATTAAAAATGTGATATTAGTCTCTCCATTTTTTTCATAATATTCAAATTATGAGATTATCTTCTAATAATAGATTTTGCATATCTCATATACTACCTCTAAAATTAGGACTAAAATAAAAGCTAAACATTTCCAATTCTTAAAATATCTAATATAAACTGAAAAATCAATGATCTATTATGTATCTGATTCAGAAACAGTTAAATTCCTAGCATCACTCAAATCAGATCCATCTTTTGTCACTTTAATAGGTTATTATTCTAAATTATCTTATTTCTATATTTCATTCTAAGATTTATCTAATTGTTGAGCTAAATCATTATTGATCATTTCTAAATGAGATTTTATTTATTCATAAGAACCTTGCGCAACTAACTCGCCATGACTTAATATAGCAATTTTATCGCATTTTATTGCATATTAGATTTGATGAGTGGCTAAAATGACAATTGGTTTAGGTTTGTTTGTGTTAATGGCTATTTGATCATCGAAAATGAATTGTTTAATAGCAACTGTGAATATTTTTTAAGCAACACTTGCATCAACAGCAGATAAAGGATCATCAAATAAGTATACATCAGGCATTTAATATAGAGCTCTGGCTAAAGAGATTCTCGCTTTCTATCCTCCAGAAAGTGTGATACCTCTTTCTCCAATTTCAGTCTAATCTTTAAATTTCATTAATTCAAAATCAGATTCTAATTGTGCAACTTAAGCAACCCTTTCATACAAAGTTTTACTATATGCTTTTCCAAATAGAATATTGTTTCTTATTGTGTCTGGAAATAAAAATGGTTCTTATTCAACGTAGCCAATTTTTATTGTATTTTATTATGGTTCTTATCCATCAATCAACATTAATCCTTTATAGGCTGGAATTTCACATAACAATGAATGCAAAAGTGTTGATTTCCCACAACCTACTCTTCCAATGATAGCCCATAATTCGCCTTCTTTAAAATTTAAATTCAAATTTTTTAAAATTGCTTAATCATTTTCAGCTACTGAATGTGTCCAATATGCACTAAAATTGATTAATTCAATTCTACTCTTCTCTTGCTCATTTTGATTTACTTCAATAACATCATCAACTTTATTCATCACAAAATTTTCTAGGTTTAACACATTTGCAATCCTTTCAAAAGTCACTTTAATTTAAATAAAGGCTTATATTCCATTTGAAACCATATATACACACGAAACTCGCAACACATTTAAGAGTTGTAATGTAGAAATCATCTCAGCCATCCTCATTCCATTTCTAAAATCACAGTAATATAACATTATAAAAAATAGTAAACTTGTCCAAATATGTGAAGTTTGAGAAAATAATCTATCTATTGCTGTTCTTATGAGTATTTTTAGTAAATTCAAATATTCAAGTTATCTTATAGCACATATCATTGTTTAAAAGGCTTTTTCCCATGCTTACATTTTAATTAATCTAATTCCTTCTATGAATTGGTTGGTAATTCGTAATCTTTAATCCTAATTTAGTTTTGCTTATTTCAAAGTTTCTTGATTGTATGATTATATAATGATTTAAATAGGGTATGCAAGAAATAATAATAGAACTGCTAATAAACCAATGATACCATCAAATCTATTCCATAATATAAAACAAGCAAAGAGCATTGAAATTATAACAACACTACTTGGAAAGATCATACTAAACATTTATTCTAATGTGTTAATGTCTCCAGATATTATATTTAAGATCTTGCCTATATTTGCTTACTTAAAGGAGTAGGAATTCAACCCAATCAATTTAATATACACTAAATTTATTAAACTTAGACGTGCTTTGGTTGAAAATACCATTGAATAATTGGCAGCATGATGCCTACTCAATAAACAAATGAAATTCAATATTACTAGAATAATCCCATAAAAATGAGCATTGTTATAGTCATGTTAAGATACACTACCTATGACAAAACTCATAATTAAAGAAATTCCATTTTTTGAAACTGACTCTATAACATAGGAAACGATACATTTTCCTGTTATCCATTTCAATTCGCCAAAAAAGATGAGCTTAACTAATGTTCTAAAACTTATGAGATTGAGTTTTTAAATTTTGTTTTATGCTTTTTAAACCTATTATATTAAATCATCTTCAGGAGATAATTTTGGGAGATGCTTATCTGTTATTTTCAGTCTTTTGTTTAACACTTCACTTCTTAAAAGTAAAGCATAGGAAGTGTAATGCAGAAAAAAAAATTTTGAAAGCCAACTATTATTATATCCGAGATGATTTGGATAAAATTTATGATCATTCTGTTATTTTGTATCTATTGAAACACATATATCCTCAGTTTTATTAAGGCACTCTTATGAAAGAAAATTTTAATTTTCATTAATGAAGTTCATAAATTTATCTTTTTTTAGAGGTTTAAGGTATGAAATGTTGTGTTCTGGTATTCGAATTCTCTATACCGTAAGTTATTCTTATTCTGTTTGACTCATCATTCAAATTAATATATACTATTGTAAATAATTATACTATTTAATATTAAAGTAAATGTAATTATTGTTGTAGTTAAAATTTTGAAAATAACATTTTTATTAAACTAACATACACATTTTAACAAAATACTAGTTCTGAACTTAATGAGGAGGAGGCTACTACACATATGAAAATGAACTACAAACATAAAATTAAGGTTAAATCAACAAAATTGAAACATTTTTTAAGTAGAATTACATTCTACTAATGATAATAAAATAAGTCTTGTATTTAATATAAAAATTAATGGAAATACTTAGATATTCGTTAGTCTTATTTTTAATAGTCAATTTCGCAGGAATCTAAGATATCTATTTATTTGCATTTAAATATCAATAATAATTATCACTGAAATCGTACAAAATTAGAATACT